AAAAAAACAATCCGATAAGATGCCTCGTCAATAGCCTCCCTCTCTCTCCAAATTTAGAACTAGAAATAATTACATTCTCCCACACACATTTCTAGTGAAGGGTTATAACAACAATATAGCAAAGGCAACTAAAACCTCTACAGCTTCTCAAAAATCCAGTTTCACTGAGCCAAAAAAAGCTTCCCAAGCTAAATTATTTAGCATTTCTCATCAATAAAAATCAAAAAACTTTATCCTAGAACTATGATCGCAGGCAGCTGGCACATAGCATGGGAAAAATGCTCTTACTTTCCACAACGTGGCTGCCAGATATTGTGTAGCTATCATCCTTATCTAACAGCACTCCACAGCCTCTTTTTTTTTTTTTTTTTTTTTTAAACGTTGTCACTATTAAGAACAATTCACAGATATAAGCTTAACCTGAATATCCTGGGATAATGTAGAAAAGCCAAACCTCACCTGAACCACCAGGCACACTAAAACAGTCAACTCTTACCATCAACGTATAGACTTCTCTCAGGAAAACGCCCCCCGCTCCCTCCATTACCCCCCCCCCAAAAAAAACAAAAAACAAACAAACATGTAAACAGAGAACCTGACTGATTATCAACGATGAAGAAGTTCTGAATTCATTGCAGTGGATAGACCCAAAAATGGTTCTGATAAACGGGAAGAAACAAAACAAAAACATGAAAAACTTTGGACCAGGCTTTGCAGGTTCACCATGGCAAACGGACCAGTGGGTGCCCCCAACTTGTATTTCGGCTTCAAACGCAAAAAAAAAAAAAAAAAAAAAAAAAAAAAGAAAGAAAACACAGACGACAGTGGCGTGAACGGTTTCCAAGTCCAATCGTAAATCGGAATCAAAACACCACTGTTAAACACATTTTCATTAATATACATTAGAAGACCAGACTGTCCGTTCTCTGGACAATAATTCAGAATCTCTGCTGTAAAAATCAAGTTATCCGTTTCGCTACGTCAGTGCAGCCGGAGCACTTCAATCATTTTGCCAAACAATCAATGCATACGCAGACATCAGTCAACCCTTCAGTCATACTTGCAAACCTAAGCACAAAAGGAGAAAAAAAAAAAAAAAAGATGTCTCTTTGCGTGTTAGTGATATCTTTGTACGTACATGACATATATGCATGTTGTTTTCGTCTTAGTGCATATTGTTCTTGCAGACCAACATCTATTTTTCAAAATAAAAAGAGGAAAAACAGGTAGAGGGCCACTTATGAGGCCCAGCATCCCACCTTCCCCAAGCAGAGCACGAGCGCAGCCTCCACATAAATCGCACTTAAAATCTTTTAAGCGTAACGCCGGAGACCAAAACAAGAAGAGTTTCTGAACCAATCGTAGAAGTTCATCAGGTGTCACTTTGCCCTCAAGTCCTGGATGTCAGTCATTTAAAAGCGTTTCTTTGGACAGTCTCCGTGGGGG